AGGCATCCCAATTCAGTAATCGTATTTCCCCACAGCAATCTCTCTATACCTATGTAATATGTTGATGCTGATTGGGCAGGTGATATCAATGACCTGTCACTCGTTCTCTGGTTACATTGTTTATCTAGGCACAACAGCTATATCCTGGTATTCTCATAAGCCACCAACCTCTCTCGTTCCTCAACTGAGGTTGAGTATTGTGTGTTGCTTCTGCCCTGTTGGAAGTGAATATGATCAGCCATATGCTCAATGATTATCATGTGTTGCTCTGCTGCTCCTATAATAGTTTATGATAACCTTCGGGTCATGTACATTGGCGAGAACATAGTACATCGTACCAAAATGAAGTACCTTGAGGTTAATCTTCACTTGTTTAGAACCAAGTCAGAAATGGCCCACTCTGAGTATCGCACATCCACACTGCTGATAGATGGGGAGATTCGGGTGAGATCCAACTTTTGATTCATCAACTTGTAGAACCGCTCACCATATGCTGTTCAAACCGGCCTTCCAGCGCACCAAGTTAGGTGCTATCTCTTAACACCTAACTTGAGGGAGGCATAATAGTGCATGTACTACTGTTGTTACGTCTCAGCACTACTTGTTAGATTTAGCGGAGTCTTCCTTCCATTATTTCAGGCTTCAATTTTGTATTAGCTATTATCATCCTGTTAGTTTGTTTTCTATACTGGTTATTTGTTCCTACTCTCTAGGAGTTAGCTTAGCCCAATTGGTTTACTTCTTATGTATATAATAGCTTAGCCCAATTGGTTCACTTCCTATGTATATAAACTCTATTGGAGGCTCATCAACCCAGTTCCTTCGTAGAACATGTACATTCAAGACCAACCACCTTTCTTCACAGATTCCCTTTTGTTTCGTATGAAGTTCATATCAAAGTTAAGGTAACAAAAAAATATCTACAAAAACCTAAAGCGCCCGCCTTTACTTCCATACCACAACCAAATAGAATCAATAAATAAAAAAGTTCCCAGGAATTCGGACCTCAGAGTCAAAAAAACAAAAGTTTCAACTTTCAATTCAACGATTCTACAAGATAAGCCAACAACAACATACCTAGCGTAACCCCACAAGCAGGGTTTGAGGAAAGTAGTATGCACGTAGACCTCACCCCTACCTATGTGAGCTAGAGAGGCTATTTCTGATAGACCCTTGGCTCAAAAGAATAACCCAACACTACAAAAAGAATATCTACAATAACCTAAAGCTCCTGCCTTTACTTCAATACCACAACCAAATATACTCAATAAAAAAGTTCACAGGATTTCAGACCTCAGAGTCAAAAATCAAAACTTTCAATTCAACAATTCTACAAAATAATCCAACAACAACAACCGCATACCCAGCATAACCCCACAAGTAGGGTCTGAGGAGACCAGGATGTACACAGACCTTACCCTGGTCCGTTTCCAATAGACCCTCGGCTCAAAAGAATAATCCATCACTAATAACCATAGTATGCAATTGAATCAGATAATCAGAAACCCTTTAAGCTTTTCAAATCAAATAAGAGTTACAACTCAAAAAACTAAAAAAAACTACAGTTATGCATGGAAACATTAAAATTCCTACCTCGCATCATTTTTATTTTTTTTGTGGAACAAGAAATTAAAACTCCGATTATACACCAATTCAATCAAAATTCGATAAAAATAACGATAAGGGTATAAGAAATTAATACCTAAAAAAAATTCAAAATCCAATGAATTCAGAAACGATACAGCTCCACATGATTCGAACTCATAAAACAGGTGAAATCGGAGTTCAGGGAATTCATCGGCGCCGTCGCCGGTGAATCGGAGATGAAAATGAACGGTGGACGATCGCAACTTTTTCTGGTGGCTGCTTAATTTTGTAGTACAAAAAAAAAAGTACATCAGATTATAACAATCCCATTAGGATTCTTATTCAACCAAAAAAAAAACAAATTGAAAATAAAAAGAGTTGATTGTCAAAAATACATTTAGGGCCTGTTTGGAAGGACACCTGATAATTGGATTTGGTGTAATTGGTATAACTGTCTTGTCCTGTTTGGAGTAATTACTTGGTCAGCATGTAATTGGTGTAATTGGCGGGGTAATTACACTCTACAATTTACAGGCAAAAGTTGTGAATTGCTGGTAATTACATGGTGTAATTACCACCTGATTACTTTTTTATTTCTATTTTAATTTTTTTTATTTCTATTATTTTAAGTTCTTTTTTTAATTTTATTATTCTAAAAAATTGTAAAGTTTATTATATATTTTATATTATTATATTTCATTTTCTTCTTATTCTCAACCTTACTTTACGTGATTCTATGTAATTTTTTCGTATGATCTATTTATTTATGCCATGCTTATTTTCTCATTAGCATAATTATATTATATTCTAATTTTAAATTAAAATAGAATTTATTGTTAAGTAAGGTTATAGACTTACGTTTTCTTTATTAAGAAAAATTAAAACTAAATCATATTTATTGCTATGTTGAAATTTGTTATAAGAGTATTATGTTAAAATTTTTGTTTTGAATTTATAACTTATGTTATATTTTCAGTTTCATTTGTTTTAGTAATATTGAATCTACATTTGCACGTCATTTTTAATTAGAGTTGATAAATTATATTTTTGTCAAAACATTTTAATAATTTTATGATATTTTATCTTTTTTATCAAAACATGCATTTCACGATGTTCGTAGAAACTTCATACTTTTAGTGTTACGATCAATTCAATTGAAATATATTAATTTGAAAAAATATAAATCAATTATTATTTTTTTCATAATATTAGTTACAGAAAATATGTTTATTAATTAATATATTTTCAAAAAAGAATATATATCTTAAATATTTAATTTAATGTCATTTATAAAGTTTCTTATTTGTCTAGTATAAATTTTAAATAATTAATTTTTATTTTTAAAATTTATTATAATTTTATGATTGCAATTGTGCATCCAAACATAACACGTGTAATTACACTGTGTCATCCAAACAGGACATGTGTAATTACACGGCAACCAAACATGTCAGTGTAATTACCAGACAATGTAATTACTAGGCTGGTAATTACTACCCTAGTAATTACACCAATTCCAATTACCAGGTGGCTTTCCAAACAGACCCTTAAAGTATTAATTTTTCGTGAATTTCATAATTTAATTATTTATTATTTTATTTATCTGCGTAAATCATAACATATCTGAAATGCTGAGTTAATTTACACGCGTCTATTGCCAAGTGGGAATAGTTTGGTTAACTCGGTATTATGATGGCTTAGATAGGGGTCAAGGAAAATTTAGACAGTTGAAGTATGAAACTCGTAAAAAATGGATAGTTAAGATATATTTTTAAATATTAATTTAAATTAAAATCAAATAAGGAAAAAAAATAAAGGAAAGTTCTTTGACTTTAATTTAGAAAGGTGTATATTGAATAAATTGAAATAAAAATAGATGTTATTTGGTTTGATTCAATATCTTTTAAAAAGTCAATTTTATTAATTTAAGCTCTAATAAACTAAAGCTAAATATTTTGTATATTTATATGACCAAAACAAATATAAACAAATTGCGAAAAGTCAGAATTATGAAAGTTAATTTATTTGGTATCAAAGTTCATTATTTAGAACACCATAGAACCTAATAATAAATACTAATCATTTTGACAAATTCAATTTGTTTTAAATATTTTTTTCTTTTAAAAAGATTTTTATTTAAAAAAATAATAATTTGTATTTCTTGAATTATTAGACTATTAGTTAAAGGTGTGTTTGTCGTGGAAGATAATAATTTTCTTTAAAATGTTTTCGAATTTTCATGTTTGGTTGACATGTTTTTTCTTTAGGAAAATAGTTTTTTTTTTTTCAAAAAAAAGATTTTCTTAGTGAAATTACAATAACAATATTAGCATACTCAACGTAACTACACAAAATAAGATTTGAAAAATAGAATGTATCAAGACTACCTTAAAGATAGAAATGTTGTTTCCAATAGATCCTCAACGACGACTTCTCTAATAAAGTGATATTTCAAATTTATTATCTCCTTCTCACTTTTTAATGACCCCAAATCCCCGATCCTCGAATCTTATTATAGTGTTTCCCTAACTTAAAAATGAATATTTTTAAATAATACTTTTTTACTTATTTATTTACTACATCAATAAATAAATAAAAATAATAATATTTTATAGAAAATATTGTTTTTATACCAAACACATCCTGAGTGAAATGCTTAAATGTGAAAAAAAAAAGTAAGAAAAAAGCAAAGTGGGAATATGACTGTGAACTGTGAAGGATCCCACTTTATAAAAAAGGCAATGCAATTTGATGGTGAATGAACAACTTTTTGGGTGCACGTACGTGTGTTAAAAAAATTAAATTGTTCTACTTTTATTTTTTATTAAAAGAACGACATTGATATATTCATTAAAATGTGATTCTCATTATACTTCATCGAAATAGATAAGATCAATACAAATACTTAACAATCTAGTCGCTTGCGTTCAAGGTAGCTCGGTTCAATAGAGCCTGTGAGCGTGATATTTTGTCTAACTCGAAGGAATTAACGAGAATCCACACAAATAGTGGAACATGATTATCATCGACTTGTGTTATAAGGTGTTGAGTTAAGTCCAATAACGAACACAACCCTTGTGTTTAATTACCATTATTAAAATTAAAACTCTAAATAAACAGACTGTTGATAAAGCCGGAGGAAGGTAAGGATGACTAGAATTAGGTCGACAGATCGATTGGCAATATTTAATTCTTTTTAGAAAATCCAGAAGTTCTTTCATTCTTTTTTTTTAAAAATAAATAAAATGAGACATCTAAGAAAAAGATAAATGATAAATTTACATAAATACTTTAAAGAGATAAATTATTTCTATATGCATTTTTGCAGGGAACAATTCGATTCGAATATTTAAATGGACTACGACAAGTCACTACTAAAGCAAATGTCCATATACCAACAACAACAACAAAAAAAATCCCAAAGGCATCATATTGATATCCTTCCCTGTTTATTAGAAGTTTTGAATTTGAGCCCTTGAAATGAAAAACTTCTTTAATGGATCTTTCGATGTGAATCTGAATTAGTCGAACCAATAAATTTCAGACTGAATGATGAAACAAAAGGGAAACCATTACCCCTTTTTTAACCTCAGGTTCATGTGATCTTTTAGCTTCTAATTTTCTTTTCTTTGTCGTAGTTTCTTACTCCGCTGCACTTTCTTTAGATAGTTGCAGACGAAGACTTGTCCTCTGCAACCACCTCCTTCGCGGTCACTGGTTAAAAGGTTTCACACAGCTACTTTCAAGATCAATTACTCGATTTTTGTTACTATCTGCCGCTTTTTGTACCTTGACCATCGAATTATTCTGTTGTAGTTACTGTTCCGAATGCTTTGTCATGCTCTCTATAGTATTTTGTCATTGCTTCTTCATTTCTAGCAATTGAAAGGCTATCACAGGCAAACAGTTAGATTTGAGAACCAAAGATCAAAATATTACTCACACCATAGTCCAACCTCTATAATAAATAGAGGGGGTCAATATCTAGCTCTACTTCAATCTGAACTGGACAGAAAGTTTATGATAAATCAAAATCGCTTACTTGAGTACGTAAAATTTTCTCGTCTACTTCAATTTGTTTTTCACCCATACCCTTGACCTGTCCTTCAGCTTGACGCTCAAGGTGAGTCCACATACGGGTTTGCCCAGTTGTGCCAATGATATCTGAAAAAATTCAATTGGTTATGCGGAAGTGCAAAAACTACTTTCAGGATGCAATACCGATAATTAAAGTAGACTTGCCTGTAAAGATGCTTTCACAGGTTTCCCCTTGGTGAAAATATCCAGTACGGGAGCAGTGAGATCATGCACTCTAGCATATCCACCAAAAGTTGAAAAAGAGCACCATTAAACAATCCGCCTATGGATTACCTCCAGTTGAATTTACCCATCTTTCAAGTCTAGAATTAGATTAAGTACTACAACAATTAAAACAAAAGAAAATCAAACACAAGTAGCTAGGTGGACAAAAAATCTGCATAAGACTGAAAGCATATGCAACAACAACAGCAAAACACAGTGTAATACAACGAGCGGGATCTAGAGAGGATAGAGTAGAGTGTACGCAGACCTTAACCGTATTTTCAAAGGTAGAGAGGTTGTTACCAATAGACCCTTGGCAAGACCAAAAGCATTGTAGGGACAGAACTAACTTAAAACTAAAGTAAAGATGCAAGAAAAGTATTCATAAAATGAGCAAAAAATTGTTGAGAATACATTGTCTTTGATCATCTTTCACCATAAAAAATAAGTTCATTAACAGTATTCACCTACGGGGAAAAGTGCCTTTGCATTTACAAATTACTTACCACACTATACAACGAGATGAAATAAATAGGATGCCAAATGAATGGAGAGAACATGAGATCCATGGGTATGACAATTTGAAGGAGACTGACTTCTAGCTTCAGATAATTCAAGCTTTCTCCTCCTATGTTACTTGTTGAGTAACCCCAAGAAAATCATTGAAACTACGAACCTAAGCATGAAGAGCATGTGAACTCGAGAGTTTGTACTTCTAGTTCAAATTTAACCAATTATTAGAACACTCCTACCCGATTTTTCTCAAACTATTCTAGCTAATTATGCTCGTCTATGTAGAGCGCTACTCCAACAGAGGCTAGTAGGCAAAAATAGAAAAAACATCAAAAGAATTGGTCCAAAAAGAGGGGGGTTTAGTAATTTGACAAACAATACATGACTGTCCTCAATGATTGTTCAACTCTTAAATAATACTCCCTCTGTCCCAATTTATATGACTTATTTTCCTTTTTAGTCAATCCCAAAAAGAATGACACATTTCCATATTAAGTAACAATTTCACTATAAAATGTCTATTTTACCCTTAATGAAATGATTTACAGCCACACAAATTTCTATCATTCATTTTGGACCACAAGTTTTAGAAGTCTTCCATTCTTTCTTAAACTCCGTGCCGAGTCAAACTACCTCACATAAAATGGGACGGAGGGAGTATCATTTATTCTATGCCTTCATTGGGGAGAAAGTAAGGCTAGTCTATTAAAGAATTCAGACCACTATTTCAGGACATTATTGAAGTTCAATTTATGGAAATTGCAATGAAATGAGTATAACTTTCAATAACAAAGACATGATATTTATACAAAAGTATGTTCATCCAAAGAAATGAAGACATTCCAACAAAACTTAAAAAGATGCATCGATAGATTGATGCAATTAGAAATTTCTATTGGTCAATATGTATGTGCGAGTTACATTTAAAAAAATCAAAGCTCAATATCATTGTGCAATTTATCACCATTGACAAAATTGAGAGTTAGAGAAAAACGATACCTTTTGGCAACTATAGTATTTCCCTTCTTCTGCCTAAAAATAGTTTCATCAACTTATGTAGAAATTGCTCAAATCGTCTCACGAGTAAGCAAATTCAGAAAAAGCTGCAAATCTGCAACAGAAATATACACAGGTAAGAAAAGTGGGAAGAAACATCTTTTGAATGTCTTTTTTCTTATCTTCTCCTTTCATATTTACAAATTGTTTTGTATTTAGACAGAGAAGAGGAAAAACTAGAATCTAAAGAGATCAGAATATGATGTAGATAAACAACACTGTCAGATTTTCCTCTATTTTAATGGACTTGTGGTAATTCACTGTGTAACCAAACTAACCTTTCCTGGCTAGCTCTTTTCATGAAACTTAACCACATGCAAGACACATGGAGCATAGAGAAATCTGAGAAGGAAGAGGGAAGATGTAAATGCGCACCTAACTTCACTATCATAGATTCCAGTATCACTGACATGGTTCAACTGCAAGCATTTCTAAATGATACCTCTTCTTGTGGTCATTCACTACATCATACAAAGAAACATATATCAGTAACCAAAAATTCTCTTTATTCTTGTAGGTAAAATGTCAAGAGTGAATACTCTATATTGCACAACAGCAGTGTATTTTTTAATTTAGTTGCCCCTAAAAGTAAAATCAACTCAATTTTGCACTTCACTTCAACTGCTCACAAGTTCCTAGAAGTTTAACCATCAAGGCAGCTGATGTTAAATCGTCAAAACAATCATAGTACAGAATCCATACTGAGTAAGAAAGCATTGCCTTCAAAAAATCAGTTTGAATTTCTAAAGATTATACCTCTGGAACTTTCAGTCCAGAGCAGCCAGATGAATGTTCATCTTGGGTTAAACAACTTGAAATCTCGGTGATTTTGGCATTTCCTTGAATATAACAGGTCTAAAATAATGAGTTCTGAGAGCTGCAAATCCCATAGAATTTTCCAATGGAGGATTCAAAGCAAGTCAGCCTGAAATTCCAACTTCCAATTAAACCATCTTAAAATAAAAAATATTTTAAAAGGCAATCATAAGTTCCACGATATCTGTTTGTTTGAAGCAGAAATATTCATATTCTCCAGGACAAATCTTTCAATCTCAACTAGTCAATCTAAAGTTTTAGATGATCCAGAAATATATAGAATAGTATTTATTGGACAAATAAGCCATAACAACAACAACATACCCAGTGTAGTCCCACAAGATGGGGTGTGGGGAGGGTAGGGCGTACATAAACCTTAACCATATGGAGGTAGAGAGGTTGTTTCCGAAAGACTCCCAGCTTAGGTAACACAAATCAAAGAACATACAAAAGGAAAGAAATAAAACATGTACTAAGGAAGCATCATGTAGCAATAGGGAAGGAAAACAGTAACATCAGCAAAATCATGTGATAACCAAAACACAAGACACAAACAGTAGTTGCAAGACAGGAAACTTTGCAAAGACTGTTGATTGTAAAGCAGAAACAGGTACAGGCGATATTTGACAAATAAGCAACTGCCCAATATGCAAATAAATATCAGAAACATACAAAAGATGTAACCACATAGGTGTTCCATCAGAAAATGCAAAAAGATATAACCAGATGGGTGTTCATAGATACAAACCATTCAGGATACTGTGCAACCTATGGGTTGATTGCATTAATAAGAGTCTGAGATAAATCTCGGTCAAGAGTAAAACCCTTTTCCATCATCTGATCCCAGATTGCACAAGCCACTGAGAGGTTCTTCTCCTGTATGAGACCTCCAATAATTAATTTGAAGGTGATTTCATCAGGATTCAAATCTCTGGCTTGCATATCTTCATAAAGACTCAGTGCTTCTGTTACTCTAGAAGCCTTGCAAAATCCACTGATTAGTGCATTATACGAGATAACATCAGGAGCAACACCCTGTTCCACCATATCACGGAAAATGCTCTCAGCCACCCCTAATTTACCTGTCTTGCACAGGTTATCTATAATAGAAGTGTACAGTACACGATCAGGAAAAAGGCCCATGCTGGTCATCTGATCAACAAGTGCCTTAGCTACACTAGAATTGCCTTCTTTTAGAGAAGCTTCTATAAGAATCGTAAAAGTTACAACGTCAGGGACAATTTTTTTTTGCTCCATCTCCTCGAAGAGATTGTATGCCTTCTTACTGTGGTCTGTCTTGCAGAGTGCTCTAATAATAGTATTGTAAGATACAACGTCTACCAATCCTTTGGTTTCCATCTTGTCGACCATTAACTTATAAGCCTTATCTAATCTATTCGCTTTGCAGAAACCTCTGAGAAGCTGGTTATAGCTGTAACCATCAGGTTCCAACCCATTTCCTTCCATCTTCTCTATCAACTTCACCGCCTCTTCCAACATAAGCTCGTTACAACAATAATTCAAGAACACATTATAAGTAACCAAATCTGGTTCACACCCATTTCTCCTCATGAATGTCTTAATTGCTTGTGCTTTGTCAATCCTACCAGCTCGACAAAATCCATTTATCAGCGTATTATATATTTCCGTGTTGAATTTGACTTGACCCCTTAGAATACCCAAAGTCAGCTCATAAGCCAAATCAACCCTACCACTCCCACACAGCCCAAAAACAAGAGCTTTGCAAGCCTTATTATCTGGTCTTAAACCTTTCCTAATCATCGTATGCCACATTTCAACAGCATTATCGAACCGTCCAATCCTACACAACCCACTAATAACAATAGTATAACTCACTACATCTGGCTCTCTCCCTTTCTCTCCCATTACTCTAATCAACTCCAAAGCAATATCCACCAAATTTTCACTACACAAAAGATTTAAGTACATATTATACGCCCAAAAGTTCGGTACAATCCCAACCCTATCCATATCATTTAATAACCTACTAATAAGATCAAAGTTCTTAACTTTACACAACCCACAAATAAATTTTGAATATGTCAATGAATTCAAAGAAAACCCAACTGGTTTCATCTCATTATAATATCCTTCTGCTAAATCAAAATGCGAAGTACGAATCAAAACACCAATAATTCTATTGTAATCAATGCTGAAAACTCTACAATCTGATTGAGTCATTTTGTCAAACACTTGGAGTGCTTCGTTTACCAAACCAGTTTTCACGTAATTTGAAATGCGAGTACGATATATGAGTCTATGCTTACCAAGAGCTTTATACATATCAATCAATATAAACTCTTCAAAACCCAAAGCATACTCTTATTTTTTTCAACAACAGTTTAACAGTAGAAGTTGTGGGATTTGCAATGAGATGGGTGAGGAAAAAGGGAAGGAGAAACTGGTTTTAGCAATGGAGAAAAATGGCAGAGAAAGAGAGATTTGGGGGCTGAAATCAATGGAGAAATCCAATTCTCAAATAAAATTTTAGGGTAAAAGGATCAATTTGATAGTCACCATGTTAGAATTTTTTTGAGTTTTATATATGAGTTACTAAAAATTTAATGGCATTGTTATTTAAATAATTTCAACTAAATAATATATATAAAGTAATAAAATGTTTTTGAGATTATTTTATACATGTAAAAAATAATGGAAAAAAATAAATATTTGATGGATAAACAAACATAAAATATTACTATTAAATACATTTTATTAATTCATTATTCAAAACACGTTTCAACAATCATTTGCTGCAAATTTGAAATCTAATCATAACAGTGACACACATTATAATTGTAAAATTTTAAGATTAAGTATTAGATTCATTATATTTTTAACTGTGATTATTTTATATTTTCGTCTGTGTGTTGTTTCTCTATACTTTTAAGCTCAAACGAAATACAAAGTTCTTTTTATAGTCTGCAAGATACATTACTTTTGCTTTCAGGTTAAGTTGCTCGCATTTGGGTGCGTGAATATCCAATATTTGAATAGATCAAAGACTAGATAAGCTATTTACACTTCTATTTATTTCAACAATGACATTTTTTCTGTGTAGATTCTCACATACATATAGAGACATGCCCCTTGTGTTATACCATTATAACTAAATATATCTATGTAAGCTTTGCTAGAGTTGCTATATTTTCTTTCTAATTTGAATTCTTAAGATACATAATTTCAACAAAATCACATGCAAGTTATTATACATTGTCACGTTTGATATTGTATTTTGACTACTGGTCTTAATAGTTACATGGTTACTATGGCCAACTTAACCAATATGGTTCTCTCAAATTTCTTTCATACACTTCATTAAATGTTGTTGTTGGGTTTTAAAGGTGGGAATAGAAAATAAAGAATTGTGATTTTTACAAAGGGTTGTGACCTTTACGAAAGGTTGTGCCTTTTCTAAAGGGTGTGACCTTTCTGAAAAATTATCTCTTTTCCAAGAAATTGTGACATTTCCAATAAGACACAATTAACAATCTTTTCTTACTACCCTTTATTGGTTATAAATAGAGAGGTTTTCTCTCATTTTTCTGCATTGTATTCTTCCCTTCTTTTGCACACATTTCTTACAAATAAATTCGATCGATCTTGTCTGTGTATGTGATCTCCTATTGCTGTCTTTTTGAGTTCGTTGAAATTATCGAAGTTTGAAGTTCCGCTACTTTTTAATGGTTAATCCGTTTTATCTTAGGAGGAATTAATCAACAAACTCGAATACTTGAGGGATTAAATTTTTTAAGGATACACATTGAATTCTGTTAACTCGGATAGTTCTTTTCTTTTCATCCTTATTGTTTCTGATTTGCTAATCATAATACAAGACATAACAGTTGCAAATTTTTTTATGGAACTTGTGATATTAGCACATGCTCTATCTAGTTTTTTTTTTTTTTTTTTTTATTATTATTCTATTCTACTTTCTATTCTACTATATTATAAAAGAGAGTTTAGGGCCAAGTATAATATATAATATTCAAGATTGG